TTTTTTTTTTTTTTTTTTTTTTTGTCTTTAACATTTGTTTATTTTTTCTGTGAGATGCAGAAAATATATACTTTTATCTGCAGTTTATGCAGTTCCTGACTTTTAGCTGCATTTTGGTCATAATGTAAGATTGGGATCAGTACAGCATCTGTGAATTTTTGATTGTCTCTTCTCTTTATTTTTATTTGCTTATCATTGACTCTAGAGTAGAGACTGAAGTCCAGCTGTTAGTGTCAGTGAATGCTTATCTGTACTTGACAGTGCAAGACAACACAGCTAGATAAATGAGGATCATGTGTTCTGTGGCTTCTCACATTTCCTAAATCTTCCTGGCATGGTAGAAAATGTAGAGCTCTGTTAAATTAATTTTTCATACTTTTTAYTTGAGGAGGATCAAGATTAATCCTGTAATGAGCCTATATAATGACATAGGGGAGAACTGATTTCTTCCTCTTTTGCCTGTACCCCCCTGAAMATGCAGGGTAGAATGACATGGATGTTGAATAACTGACATGGATTTTGAAATACAAATGTATTATTTAATTCCTGTAGTATATTATATCCTCACTATGAAATATTTGCTGTCTGGGAGTGCTACCTGATTGCTCACTGTATATTTTGAAAAATCTGATTCTCAACACAAAGTACCAATTTCTCCTCCTTCTGCCAACTTCATTGGGAAATGCATACCAAATACCAAAACCAAAATAAATAATATACAAGAATGTCTCATGTTTTTCATTAAAAGTTTGCCTAGTTTAACTGAACCTTACTCACTGTGAACATAAAGAACAGCATTTAATTTACTAATGTGCTAACAGGAGGATTTGTACTGCTAAATACAGCTAATTCACATATATGATGATAGTAATGACTAATAATTATGAGAAAGAAAAGTATTAATTATAGATGGTACATATGCATATGGTATCATTATGAATTCCTGTTTCAAAGTCATGCTGGTGGTAAGCTGGTCCAGTTCATCAAAAATGACCTTTACTTTTCCCTTTTTTATAGAAAAAGCGGAAACAGAGTACTCAGGATGAAGATACAATCAGTATCTGCAGCCTGGACACAAGTGTGAGTATTTTTTTCATTTCATTTTTGTTTTATCCTTATGAAATACTGTGTGGATGTTGTGTGCTCAGAACCAAACCAGTTCATCCTTTCAGCAGTAGCATTTTTATACAGAACATGAGAAACTCTTCTGCTTCTTGCTTTAAATTTGCTATACTATACTTTCCTGTTCTTACAGTTATAATAGTTGAAGAAATGAAAAGTCAGAATAACAGATTTTGGTAAAGCAGTAGAGCTCTTATTAATAATTAAGCATCAGGAAAAAAAGTTCACTGTGAATATACAGGACTTTATTTTTCAGGATTTTGCTCTTTTTGAGCCATAATGGATATTCAATGAATGTACTGAAATGTACTGGAGGTGTTGKGCAGAGAGGAAGAAAGGAGAAGAAAAGGTGGGGATATATAATTGAGGTCTGTGAGATATAGTCAATGTAAGATTACACGTGGATTTTCTTCTGGGAATTTGTCCTCATGAAACTGCTTCCTGAGGACAAATTGCCAAGAAAAAATCCATTAAGAGTTCTTAGACACCCACGTGGCAACTCCCTGAACTTCATACTTCTAGAAACTGGAGGAGTAAGCTGTGGGTGTCACTAGGAGTTGACTCTGCTGACACATGCTTCCCTAGGGATCTGAGTTCTGGCTTCTGGTAGAGACCKGTTACTGAGCTATGGGATCCATCCTTAGCCTCTGCAAATGTGGCCATTCTGATATGACCTCAGTTGTTCCTTTACTTTGCCTTTTATTGGTCTGTTCTTCCAAGGAGCCATGGTTTCAACATGAGGTGCTGGGGGTCCTACACTTACCTGGAGCCTTTGGATGGTAGCTTAAGGTAACTAAGAAAATATTTAGGTCCTTTGTCTGGTGACTCAGATTTACTTTTGAAAAGGCTTTTGCAAAATTGCTTATGTGTTTGTCCGTAAAGAGAGCATTCATTTTCCAGACAGTGGCTAAGGACATCAAAATTGAATGCAGTGTTCCCTATTATGAACTTAGAATCTAACTGGTGTAATTATATATTATTAAAGTTTTACAGAAAATAAATCTCTCAGGGCCAGTAATAAAGCTGATTACTTTTTATTATTAAATAGTATATGTATTTAACAAATAAATGTATTAGACTTTCCTGTACAGCATACTTCCTGGTTTACATAATTACGTGAATGATTTCCATGCAGCATTTCCAGCCCACTGAGCTGCAGAGGTAACGAAGCGCCCRCAATTACACAGTGCAGTCACTGAGGCGCTTCTGGTGCTGCCACGTGCAGCAGCTCGGGGCCGTCTCCCTGTTTGCAAAGTGACTTATTTATTTATTACTTGCTAATGGAAAGATCTTAGGTTTCCAAGTTGTGTAAATGCATCCACTCACTGTGTTTGTCCAGGGGTGGTGAGAGATGGGAAAGAAAAAGGATAATCCTGTTTAAGCCAGGAGCTGTTTCATGCAGTGGATAGCAGCGTATGTATGCAGACGGCTGGGTGTCCTGCTAGTTGACATCATTATCCATCTACAGACATTTTACAAAAATAGATGATTTTCTTTTTTTCCTGGCTGACTGCTGCCAGCCCACCTGACCTTTCAAGGGGAGTCAGTCCTAGAGCCAGAGCTTCCTTGCGCAGGAAACATGCTTGGGGCTTTGCTGACTCAGCCCGCRGACGGGTAGCTTGGGCACATTGGCTCCTCTTTGTGTTTGTGTAGTGATCTGGACTGGTGCTGGTGCTTCAGGAGCTGATCAACTGGCACATTAAGCTGACTGCTTGGTCTTGGCYCAGTTTATTGCCAGCTTGAGGAGTGCTTTTGCAAATACCCTTTATGTCAAATAGTTTGTGATGATTTGTGACAGATGGGGCCTGCAGATTATGAGGGCAGCTGAGGCCATGAGCATATGAGGCCATAGCAATCAGAAGTCTGTATGTAAGGGAAAATGTGCACCTTGTACAACATGCATTTGATCTTGTTGCCTGGCGCAGGAGGACTTGCTGTGTATTCAGTCAGTGTGGATAACTCCACATATAGCRTGTCCCATGCCTGTTCTTTTAAAATATATATTGCACAGGAATTTGTGTATGCATATCAGTTTACAGACGTTGTACATTAACATGGGTTGCACAGACTTTAGATTTGATGTTTCCTTTCATAGCTTGAAGAGTTGAAATGGAGAAATAACTTTGTGCTCTATTGCTGTCTTTCTCAAGATTATAGGAGGGACTAAGTAGCTTTTTGTTTAAACATCACAGCTCCTGYGGTGCTCCACTGCTCTTCGCTTCCCATGCAGGTAGTAGGTTTTTTCCTCTTGGGGACACCATTCAAAACGSAGGCCTGCTGTCAGTGGCACTTTGTCCTAGGGCCACTTCAGTGCAGGAGGAGGAACACCTGCCCTCTCAGTCACCATAGGATTCATACTTCTCAGTTAGGGCCCAGTAGCTAATTCTTTTCTTATGCTCTGCATTTTTTTGCAGGGTGGCTGCCTAGTTTAAGTACCAGGTGGTTTCTGGGTATTCAGATACTAAACCAAGTAGTGATAGATGTTACAAAAGCTCGAAACAGAATGTGCAAAGTAGTAGGCGATGGTGATAGATTGTGCCGTGTACCAGATGAGGCTCAGCTCCATACAGCTGCTGGTGACTCAGGAGGTATCCAGAGCAATAGTAAAACCTAATATCAAACTTACATATAGCCACTATTTTTTTTCCTCTAAATTAAATTATGCCTATTTAACCAAAATTCAGATTAGAAGAAGAAAAGGGGTGGTGGTATGGTACACTCCCTGCTATCACGGTTTGGTGCAAGATATGCTGTACGTTCATGGCATTTGCTTCTGCCTTCTTAATATATTATGGTGAGGTGAGGGAGCAAACAGCTGGTGCATTGTGAACTAGGCAAGTAAAAGCATTTCATTAAGAAGGTGGAAGTCCATATGCAAAACTTTAGAGAAGCTATTTGTTTACATTTATGTTATTATTGAAAGTAAACAGTGTTATTAGTGCATTTTGAACTGGAGAAATCTTACTGTTGATTTGCCATCTTGAAAGTTAATAAAATATAAACAGAAAGTAACCCAGATTTAAGTGAGATTTGCACACACTAGATCAGGATTCATTAAATTTTGATTGCTTCTAGTGCTGAATAAGTATTTGTTAGTATTTGAGAGGCAAGATAGCTTAAATATTCTTTGACCTAATTAAACTTAATTATAAACTCAATAATATTTGAYTGCTAAGGTATGGCAAGTTAGCTTTGAAAAGCTTAGGAGGAATTGCTTCTGTATCAGCTTATCAGAGTTGAGTTAATTAAAATATATTGTATCTGAGTCTTTTAGTTTTAAACTGTCATGTGTTGCATGTTCATCGTATAAAAGGCATTCAGCTTGGTCATAAGATGTATACAATATCCTTGAATTACTCATGACTTTTTAATAGGCCAAATCACATAGGCAGTTAGTGCTCCATCTGGGTTATTACTTGATTATAAGGTGACTGTTCTTAATCTGTTATTAATCCATAATATGATTGTTTCAGGATAGACCTTGTCTGCTCTTGGTATTTGGGTAGTGTCCTTTCTCTCAAAGCCGTGTTCTTTTACCCTCTCCCGTTCCTCAATAAGCAAGGCCTGCAAATGCTCCGCTGGACAATGTCTAAGAGGCTGGTGTGCTGCTGTAGTCTTGCTCACTCTGGAATAGTCTCAGGCTTCTTTGCAACATTGCAAGTTGGTTACTCATTTATTTAAATAACTCATCAGAAATTGGTCAATTGTCCAGTAAGTCTTGCAGAATGTTCTGATGAGGACAGCACACATATGCTGAAGCTGGACATCTTTGGTATGAATCTGTTTGTGCAAATGAGCCAAATCCTGTGAAAGGCACCACACTGTTTCAAAGTATTCTGTGATTCTGTAATTAACTATTCTGTGATTCTGTAATTATTGGATTTAATATATTTTGCAATCAACCATGGTCACACAAATGTGTTTTTTCTGTTAGTTCTAGTGACACAGCAGAGAAAATATGAACTGAAGGTTTGTCCTCAGAATGAAAAAGTTTCATCCAAAAGATCTATTCGATCTACACRCTTTGCTGTAATCCAGCACCAGATGTATGAGACTGTGGAGAATCTATAAGCTTTAAAGAAATACAAAGGAGTGGCTATTTTTAGATCACCTACAAAGAGCATGTTATTTAGATCTCTGATTTGGTCAAATATATACCATACATACATCTGAGATGACTTGAAAATAGTTTGGATAGTAATAGTAATATACGTTAGTCTTGCTGTAATCTGCTGGGTTATTACCCGAGGATCCCAACTCAGCACTGCAGCTTGTACCAAGCTCTAAGCCAGTGAATTGCACTGCTTGTGTGGGAGGCAGATGAGCTCTTTCAGATGTGTCTGCAGAAACTTGAAGTGAATTTTTGACGAACTTCCTTTAATATCTTTTATATCCTGTATTGTCTTCGGAAGAGCAGATGTATAAGCAGATGATGGTCAGCAGTACAGTAGTTCCCATTATTAAGTGTATGTTCATATCTCAGTGTAGTAATTTGGTAAATTAATTGTTATTTTCTTAAGCGATGCTGTTTTTTATGATACTGTCTGTAATAGAAACTGGCAATTGAAATTTGAATTCAATTTAAATTACTTTCAGGTTAGGGAACCAGGCTTGACATATGCTCATTTTCAACATGACAAAATCAGGAGCATCTACAAAAAGAAATTATCCAGATGTTATTGACAGCTACGAAGTTAGGTATCTGCTAAGAAATGCATTGTGTGCATGTTTATTGACTTGATGCGGCTCTGCAGAGGAGATGTAGTTACATTTTCATAATGAAATTTAATCAAGAAAGCAGAGTTACTGTACTTTAACGGCTGKGTCCTTTGAGGTCAAGATAAAGATATAAGGATGAAAATTATATAATCTAATTTGCTTTTAAAATTAAATTTTGCACATTGTCATTTGTAATTGTATTTTATATTACGTATATAGTAT